ACATAATTACAATATTTTTTTTCAAATCTGTTTCTTTCAATATAAAATTTATAAAACTAACAAACTGCAGGTGTTTCTGGTGATTTTTATGGTGAAAACAAGCTTGTTCTTCATTCAGTAAAGTTACTCACAGTGATTAGAGTATACAGAAATTTTACTCAAGTAAGAGTAGCGATACTTCATAATAAAACGACTCAAGTAAAAGTAAAGAGTACAGCGTAGTAAGAGTACTCCTAAAAGTACATATTTTCCAAAAAGTTACTCAAGTAGATGTAACTGAGAAAAGGCAGTTCTGCATATAATATCTATTTTATTCAAGATGACTGCACTTGCATTGGTTTATAAGTAAAAGAACAAAAGTATTATTTGAGTGTTTCCAGTTGTAGCTGGAATSGGCCCTGTGTTTACATTTACTTCCAGGTGTTTGGTTCTGAAGATTTTTCCAAGGATGATCCCAGATGTGTCTGGTGTTTGTATCGCCAGCTGATCTTTATTCCTAAAGTATACAGTAAAACATTATTTTATGTGTAAAGTTTTGACTTTGTCACATTCCTAAATAATGGGATAATTAATTCATTTAAAAATGCTGCTATTTTTTTTATAATATCTGTAGCTAATRTGTGTGTTCTCTCCTCTCAGAGCACGGTTTCATGGGTTATTCAGCCGAGCTTCTCACCAGMAACACAATACCAGATTACAGTCCCGGAGAAAACTTCTTCACGGTGTTTGGGGTCTTCTTCCCTGCTGCGACAGGTAACTAGGAGTGAAATATGCCAACAACGTTTGTGTGTTTTTTTATTTACAGCTACATATTCCCTTTGTAAAACTACACTTTGCTGAATATTTAACATACTGAATATTTAACATACTGAACGCTTTTATGGTTTGTGTAGGGGTCATGGCAGGCTTCAACATGAGCTCAGATCTGCAGCGGCCGGAGCACAACATCCCCGTGGGAACGCTGGCAGCTCTCTTCACCTCGTACGACAGCACCCAAATCCACCCTGAGTGTTAGATACAAAAACATTACATAGTTAAAATGCCAAAAACAAAAAACAAAACAAAAAAAAAGACACCACATATAAGCAAAGGGTACATTGTGATTTCATCATTSACCGTGGTATCTTTTTGCAAAGGTCATTTCAGTTTCAGCAGAGAGGGAAAAACAAACCCACGTTTTGAGCCAACCTCCTTCCACCTCGTCACTGAACATTTATATGTCCTGTAAAGTTTCTGCTGTTCTTAGTGAGAAAGGAGCAGCTGTTTGTAACTTTGCGTGACGAACTGTTGGTGACCCACAGGTGGTTCCTGTATCTGGTCTTTGTCTTTCTCCTGGGGGCCATCTGCACTAGAGAAGCTCTGCGCTATGACTTCTTGATAGCAGAAAAGGTAAACTCCTCTCTGTTTCCATYGAGTGAGAGAGGCGGTCAGGTGTGGGATTTCCCCACCTGGCCTCACGCCGTTGTGCTCAGTTCAGGTTCTGACCGTGGGAACGTTTGCAAATGTTTCAGGGGTTTGGGCTTTTTCTTTCCAGTGATGGAAGTATATAATGATATTTGAAATCTTTCTCATTTGGAAATAAACATCTTAAGTCACTATACAGCGGGTAAAATAAGTATTGAACACGTCACCATTTTTCTCAGTAAATATATTACTAGAGGTGCTAATGATATGAAATTTTCACCAGATGTCGGTAACAATCCAGGTGATCCATACATACAAAGAAATCAAACCATAAATGTCCAGAAATGAAGTTATTTGTAATAATGTGGAATGGCACAGGGAAAAAGTATTGAACACATGAAGAAAGGGAGGTGTAAAAAGGCATGGAAAGCCAAGACACCAGCTGAACTCTCTCAGTAATTAGAAAGCAAGCCTGCCCCTTGTCAGTGCAAGTTAATATCAGCTGGTTCAGTCCCAAATGATGGCCAGGTATCACACAAGAACCATCTGATGATGGGTAAAAGTAAAGAGCTCTCTCAAGACCTTCACAACCTTATTGTTGCAAAGCATAATGATGGCATCGGTTACAGAAGAATGTCTAAACTTCTGAAGGTTCCAGTGAGCACTGTTGGGGCCATAATTCAGAAGTGGAAAGAACATTATTTCACCATAAACTGACCACGACCAGGTGCTCCTCACAAGATTTCTGACAGAGGAGTGAAAAGAATTATCAGAAGAGTTGTCCAAGAGCCAAGGACCACTTGTGGAGAGCTTCAGAAAGACCTGGAATTAGCAGGTACATTTGTTTCAAAGAAAACAATAAGTAATGCACTGAACCACCATGGCCTGTATGCACACTCACCACGCAAGACTCCACTGCTGAAGAAACAGCATGTTGAAGCTCCTTTAAAGTTTGCTGCTCAACATTTAAACAAGCCTGTGTAATACTGGGAGAATATAGTCTGGTCAGATGAGACCAACATTGAACTGTTTGGATGCCAGAATACACATCATGTTTGGAGGTCAAATGGCACTGCACATCAGCCCAAAAACACCATACCAACAGTGAAGTTTGGAGGTGGGAACATCATGGTGTGGGGCTGTTTTTCAGCATATGGTACTGGCAAACTTCAAATAATTGAAGGAAGGATGAGTGGAAAAATGTACAGAGACGTTCTTGATAAAAATCTGCTTCCATCTACCAGGATGATGAAGATGAAACGTGGCTGGACATTTCAGCAAGACAATGAGCCCAAACACAAAGCCAAGGAAACTCTCAGTTGGTTTCAGAGAAAGAAACTAAAGCTGCTGGAATGGCCCAGCCAATCACCTGACCTGAATCCAACAGAAAATCTATGGAAAGAACTAAAGATCAGAGTTCATAGAAGAGGTCCACGAAACCTTCAAGATTTGAAGACTGTTTGTGTGGAAGAATGGGCCAAAATCACACCTGAGCAATGCATGCCACTAGTTTCTCCATACAGGAGGCGTCTTGAAGCTGTCATTGCCAACAAAGGCTTTTGTACAAAGTATTAGATAAATTTCAGTAAGCGTGTTCAATACTTTTTCCCTGTGCCATTCCACATTATTACAAATAACTTCATTTCTGGACATTTATGGTTTGATTTCTTTGTATGTATGYATCACTTGGGTTGTTACCAACATCTGGTGAAAATTTCATGTCATTAGCACCTCTAGTAATATATTTACTGAGAAAAATGTTGACGTGTTCAATACTTATTTTACCCGCTGTATATAACCTTTATTTTAACAGGTAAGTCAGTTGAGAACCAATTCTCATTTACAATGACGACCTGGTCAAGAGGCAGCAGTAKAACACAAAATGTCAGAGCAATGTTAAAACAAAGACACGACACAGACAGCATAAAATTAGACATACTGTAACATTATAAACCAGGAAAACGAAAAATGAAATAAAATAAAAAAGGAAACTAAAACTTGTCTAAGTCTAAACTAAATCACTGTATCAAACTGCGATTCTCCACAGCCGTTATCCTGCTTGTTTTACAGGTTTCTCAGCTTCAACACACCTGATTTGCGTTATGGGTGATTAGCATCTTCTACAGAGTTTGTAGAGGTAACTGAATCACTGAATCAGGTGTGTTGGATCAGCGAAACAAGTAAAACCTACAGGATAGCAGCCACATGTTTTTTTTTTTGTTTGTTTTTTGTTTTTTAAGTATATTTTTTATTGATTTTATAGATAACGACATAAAAAATACACTTAACAGTCACCTCCCCCACCCAAAAGAACAAAAAAAGCCTAAGAGTGGGAGGACATAACACAATAACAGGTGGTGTTTCATAATGTGCATGAAATACTGTACATARAGAGTGCTTATTATTCAAATTTATCCACAAACAAAGTACTGGCAGTCAAATATAAAATACACTTTCTCGAATAGTCAAGATAAATCTCATTTTTCATTTTTTCAACTACATTTCAAAAGAATGGGGTTTATCTGACTTCCAATACAAAAATATCACCTTTCTGGCCACTAGTGTGGTCCATGATGTGACCTGTGTCTCCTTCTTGTCCCTAACCCAACCTGGATCAGTCACCCCAAATAACGCTGTGAGTGGGGTACACGGGACCACCCTACCAWTTGCCCTAGACAGAAAATCAAACAAGTGACACCAAAAGGGCTGTAATTTTTGACGTTGAAAAAGAGATGAGCCAAAGTCCCCAGATCTAGCACTTAACAGAGCGTGCCTTATTTACATATTTATATAGTTTTTCAGTTTGACACCACTTTTAAAACTGTTGGAATTTATTGTAAACAAAAATTTTTAAACTTTCCAGATAAGAATAAACAGTTAAACATACTGTGGTTACAGTTTTTAATTTTTATGCTTGGGAAAATGGTTGTTTTGAAGGATGAAAATGGCGATAAAACCTACAGCTTGACTTTTTAATCTAAATTTGAGAAACATCAGGAATTGTTAACCCAAATCCTTAAAAGGGCTAGACTTCAGCAGCAATCCTCAGCTTTAAACAAAGTTACAGAGCAGTGACTCTAGTGCCAGATTTTAATAACACAGATGTAGTTTTTAAGATCTAAATTTTACATTTAGTTTGAATCAGACAGATTTCTTTCAGTCCACCGTCAGTGGTTCATTCCCGTTGTTATTGCAAGAGAATGACGGCAGCGGAACTGACAAGGGCGTAGCTTTTTGTGAAATGGCAACCCCACCTCATCCTTTTTTCACCCTATGTTTGTTTTCCGTCTTCCTCCAGGTCTCCTTGGTGGGCTTCCTCTTTCTGCTGGGCCTTTACATCTCCTCCCTGGCGTCTTGCATGGGCGGCCTGTACGGAGCACCCAGGATCCTGCAGTGCATCGCCCAGGAGAGGGTCTTCCCCTCGCTGGCCTTCCTGGGAAGAGGGGTGGGTGGATAAAAGTTTGGATGGGAGCAAAAAGAAAATCAGTCACATTTTTTTTCCCATGAGGTAGCACAAAGATGTGCTTGACTGAAGTCGTTCCTACCTAGAGTGAATTGTACTTTCTTAAAAATGTTTAAACAAATGATTACTGTTGATGTCTGCATCGATTGCATTCCTCTCTAAGACACAGACGATAAATCTTAAAACCAATTTGAAGCATTTCAAAGCCAATAATAAACAAATGCTTAATTGTTAATGGAGAATTAAAGGGGCAATATCATATAAAATCAACCTTTTTTGAGTTTTATATCATATTATAATGTTATACTCTCATAAAAAACATGCCCAAAGCCTTGCTTTGACTCATTCATGCATGTTTGACAAATCCTGCAGCGTTTTTAGGAAGCCATGCTGAGGAGCAAAACGACAGGTGGGGACCAGAAACGCCTTTTGGTACCAGGAACGCCCCTGGGACGTGTCTTTAAGCTGAACTTCCTCATGGCAAAGCTCACCCCATCCCCCCACCCCACACACCCCGCCCATGACTCCTGCAGGCTCTCGGGTGAAACTGAAAGTGAAACCTAACTGTCTGCTGAGCTCTCAACATTAGTTCTCACTCAGTGAAGCTCTTTTCAGATTAAAAATACCTTTTAAGGAAATGTATTTTCAGATGCAAAGTAAACAGAAGCGAAGATGGTTCTTAAAGCGACAAAGGCCAATTTCAATGCGTTTAGAAGAGGAAGTGATGAGAACACATGTTTATTTTCTATTTAAACGTTAAAAACAGCATTTTAATAACAGCTAAAGGTGACACATACTTTATTATGTTATAGTATTTAAATATTTGCCTGAGAAACACATAATATTGGCCCTTTAAAGCCATCAAATCTGCTAAAGTTATACAGAGCTTTTAGGTAAAGTGCACCTTCACACCACATGTATGCCAGACGTAGTAAAGTTTCTCAGTAACTGAACATCTGTAGATTATTGCATAATAATGTTAAAATAGATTTTTTTGGGGGGGTTATCTGCAGTTTTTGACATTTTTGTGACCTAATAGTAACCTGGATGTACAGGGCGTATGGTGTTTAGACTCACCAGGAAACGGTTTCGGGGCCGCCTAATTATAGTGTGGTCTTTATAAAGTACAAGTGAGTGGACTGCCCTCAGGAGCAAAAAAAGAATATGCATTTAGGACACACACTCGGTGAACAGGCATGTTAACGGTGTGACCTGGTTCACCCCAGCCTTCCCAGGATGGCAAAACGGCGCTTGACCTCTCTCAGCAGGCTGGAATGAGGCCTGAGACATCTTGGCCCGAATCAAAGCCTCAGAACAAACGCAGGAAGGGCGACGGGCCGGGCCCCGCTTCGCTGTGTGCTCTGGAGCCCCGCCAGGCACATAGCAGTCCTCCTTAAACTCTTGCAAAAGAACCGGGGGGAGTTAAATCATAGAGCTGTTGTTTTGGGATGAATTTAGTCCTTTTTGAATTTATTGTTTTTTTTTTTCAAATACAGTACGTCCAAATCCACTTTCCATTTTAAAATTAAAGGGATCTCCGATTAGTTGTAACATTAGACTTTATTTGATAAACATATATTTTAACTGTAAAATAAAGACTGTAAAAATACTGTAGGTTTAGTTTTGTACATTTTTAAAAATATATTTTAACATGGATGGAGCCATTTTATTTACATGCAAAGCATTCTGGGTAAATGATGACGTGGGTAGGTCATCGGTGCGAGGCTGCTAGCGAGCTATATCCACCCTGAAGGTTAATCTTGGACAATATCTGAAGATCGACTCTTTTAAATGAAACCAGAGAGCGTTGACAGAGAGGAGAAGGTAGAAATGACTCAGCCTGGAAATGAAAATATGGATGGAGGACAACAGAGCTGCTTCTTGGAAGAAGAACCTCAGCTTAGCCTGTTAGCCTTTGTGCTAGCACTGACGCTATATTGCCTTACATGTGTTAGCTCGGTGCTAGTGCGACAAACAAGCTAAATTGAGGTCCTCCATCCATATTTTCAGTTCCAGGCTGAGTCATTTCTACCTTCTCCTCTCTGTCAACGCTCTCTGGTTTCATTTAAAAGAGTCGATCATCAGATATTGTCCAAGATTAACCTTCAGGGTGGATATAGCTCGCTAGCAGCCTCGCACCGATGACCTATCCACGTCATCATTTACCCAGAATGCTTTGCTTGTAAATAAAATGGCTCCGTCCATGTTAAAATATATTTATAAAAATTTACAAAACTAAACAACCTACAGTATTTTTAGTCTTAATTTTACAGTTAAAATATATGTTTATTAAATAAAGTCTAATGTTACAACTAATCCCTGGTGGTTCTGCACTGTTTATTTCTAAGCAAATTACATTGGTTTAGTTTAAAGTCATGCATATTAAGAATAGATTAAAATAAACCTATAATAATGACAAAACTAGTACTATTAAATTGTTTTATATTTTTATTACCATGTTTTCTATTTATTCTGTCCAAGTTAAGAAAATAAAATCATTAAATTTAATTAACGTATTACTTCAGTCACATTATGTAATTTTGTGTCGCTGACAGAAAGGACCAAACAGGACCCCAGTGGCAGCCATCTGCCTGACAAGCCTGCTCACGATGGCCTTCATTTTTATTGGTCAGGTCAACGTGTTGGCACCGATCGTCACCATCAACTTCATGCTCACCTACAGCTTCATTGATTACTCCTACTTCAGTGTGGCCATGACCTTCCTGCTTCAGACCAAACAGAAGAAGACCACCTTGATCTCAGGAAGACGAAGCCGACGCAGGTCCACCACGCAGAGCTCCAAGCCGCTGCTCGAGTCCACCATCCCCGATTACGGGAGTGGCGGCGAGAGCCCGCGGGGTAAAGGTACTTTGCTGGAGTTCACCAGGGACATGGACCGGATCTTTCCACCCGCCTCGAAACCTGATTCTGGGTCTGAGAAGACCCCAGCAAGCCAAGAGCTGAGCAGCAGGCACGAGAGCCGAAAGGCCACTGCAAAGCAGAAGCTGATGGACAGCTTTGGTCTGGACCTGAACAGCAACGTTGAAGAGGAGAGAAGTTCAGCTCCACAAGAGGCAGAGAACGAGATGCAGGTTGGAGATGAGGAGGCCAAACCTGGAGATCAGCCTCAAGTTAAATGCCCCACAAGTGTGTGCAGCGTGGAACCTGATGCACCTGCAGAAAGTCCCAGTCACACCGCAGGTGATACGCTTCATCAAACACTGAGCTAGAGTTAAGGAGATGTAGAAGTGAACTCATTTCTAGTGAACTCTGATATATTTCAGACGACGGAGAAAAAACAGAACACCAGCACTTTGAAATCCGACCGATGCGTGATTCCTGCTACACAAAGCTGTGCAACCACTGGATCGCTCTCATTGGGGTAGATTACACAATGCATGCTGCGCTTTTACTGTATTATATTGTATATATATATATATATATATATATATATATTGGTAGTTTTAATTAAGAGGAATTTTACAGAAATTAATAATTAATTTGGACATTTTGTTTTCTTTCAGGCACTGAGTTCCATTTTCATAATGTTTGTTATTCACTGGGTTTATGCTTTAGCAAACATTTTGGTTGCGTTGCTTCTCTTCTTCTACATCGGAAAAGCAAGTCCCGGGCTACCCAAAGGTGATTCTAAGCTGCTCATTTTTCTTGTTTTAATTAGTATTTATGAACATTTATTTTAATTTTCTACCATTTGTAAGGGATGCTGCTCCATTTTTATTTCCCATTTATTCTGTACATATTCTATCTTTTTTCATTTAACCTTAAATTAAGAACTTTAAACTTTTAGATGTTTTCAGTCTAAAGGAAATCAGAAGACATTTTCTCAGTCTTATCGTGTTCTTGTTTTATTGCCCAGTTACAACCTGAATAAAATGGAGGCGTTTCATAACATTTATGCATAAAGGTGAAATAAAAGTTTTTATTAGTCCCACCAACTGGCTTATTCAAGGAATTTCTGTGCTCAGCAGCCTGCCAGCTGTTGTGGCTTAAGATTTCTGGACTAGCTGAACGGGATGCCCTCCGTCTGTGCGTTACAGCGAGCCTCAGCTGTTTGACTCACCACAAGTTTAAAACACAAGTGCTCGAGTGTCAGACATTTGTCCCACAGGTGGATGATGAAGTGCTGCTGACCTCACAGCTGCTCACTTATTTGCTTATGAAATCAGATTATTTAAAAAAAATGTAATCAACTTAATCTTGTTAATAAATTAGAAAACATTCGAGTCCAAATAAGAYCTGATTACTCTGATTTGTTTGCAGGAATTGCAGCTCAGTTCAGCTTTTTCACATGGATGAAGTCAATAATCGGCAGCGTGTACAGGTAATTTTATGTTTTGTTTTTTTGAACGTTACTGGTTTCGGATCCTATTTTCAGCGCRGACGTGTTTCTCGTTGCCCGTCAGGACGACCGGATCTCCCCGGGATGAGATCGTAGTGACGCCGTCTCTGTTTGGGGTCGGACTCGAAACCAAGCAGCTGACAGAAGAAAACGCCGATTTRGCCTCTCGCCATCGTTATCACCAGTCCTCGTTCATCATCACCGAAAATGTGGTCCGGTCACCGTGCCCCTGAGGAACACAAACACTACCTTTAACTGACCCACTGAAACCACATTATCTGCCTCAAACTGAGCCCTGTGCTGCAGGTCACACATTCTTTACACTTTTACACAACTTATGCTGACTTGTGAAAATTTTGTCKTGATTATTTTACTCARATCAGCTATATATTAGATTACAGTAGGTCCAACAGAGCTTTCGGTATAGATATGCTTTGTTTTTTTAATCCCATCTTCGGCTTAAGACATTAACGTTGGGCAAACTTTTCATAAGTTAGTTAGTTGTTTAAAACCTTATAGTGTGACAGAGKCTTTACAAAGACTTTCAGTGGCTTCATGTCTTCATATGATGTTCTAAAGAGCTTTATTTTGAGTTGCACAAAGAGTATGAGTGTATGAAATAAAAATGACCCTTTAGGTGCTTAAGGTTCAATTCTAGGACTATTTTTATAAAATAAAATAAAAGCTGAAATGTATTTATTTTTCTCATTTATTGTGACTGAAATATCTGTTCACTGTAGGATATTTAGGTCTGACATCCCCACAATGCAATTTGTGTTACGATACAGTTTATATGTACAAGTACACAGTTCGATTAAAGTATATTTACACACCTTTTTGTGTTTAGGTTAATTTTGCCTGTTAAAAAATATATATATCGGTGTTGTGGAACTCTTGTAGACAAACACTGATTTAATAACGTCACAGCAAACTTTTTGTACTTTTATTTTCCTGACGTCTAAAAATGTAAAAAAAAATAGTTTTTTTTTTTTTTT